AAGAATAATTAAATAATTAATTGTTAATAACTTATCGTTAATATATTTTTGCAATAAACGTTTATTGTTGACACGTGGTTTCTTTCTTTACAAAACAAATCTGAACTAATTAAAACAATTAGTATTAGAAATACACAAATAAAGTTTGAACCAATTGGAAATCGTTTTGCCCTACGATAAATTCTGCAAACGAAAAAACTGAATTTCTAAATGTCCTAAAATTGTAAAGTATGAAAAATATTCTAACCACATACTCTTGTACCTGCATTTTTGGAAATCTTTTCATTAAAACTATTTACCTATCTACTCACTCATTATTTGTACATATTTAAATACAAAGCAGATAGATAAAGTAACAATTTTACTTGATTTACTTGCTGCAAATGCTTTTTTCAAATGCATATCTACTTATATTTTTGAAGCAACAAAAAAAAAATATTCAGAAAGTTGTTACTGCAGTACCTACATGGTGATAACGCAAACATGTTTACAAATAGAAATTCAGCCAAGGTATTTTCATTTTATTTTAAAGACTCTTTGAAGTGAGATACTTTTGAGCGGCGTTTTTTATATTACTGAATTTTCCCTCAATAAAGTGAGCACTTAATAATAAAGAAGATTAGATTTCGACTTTGTTGTTGGCCTAAATCCCATATAGAAATTGTCTAGAATACAATAACCTTGTTAAAAAAACTACATAAACATTTAATCTTCGCGATGGATTTGATATCAGAAAGCAAGCGGGTAATAAACTGGGCCTTGCTTATCATGGGAATATAATAAATAATAATAGTTGGTGCAGTATTAAAAAAACTTGTCACGGGATGAGTCGCGACGCCTGTCCTCATCAGCTGTGATGGAGCCCTCATCGATCTCACCCGCACCGCAAGGCGTCCAGGACGAACAGGAAAAACTTTTTATCAGTAACGAAACCGGCGGGGATGGAGAAAAAGAAACCCTTTTAATTACTTCGCATAATAAACCGCAAATAGTACCACAAGAAACTGAATGTTTCGTATTGAAAGCAGTGAAAAATTACGAAGAAGAAACTTTAAGAAAAAGATACAAACGTCTGTTGAATTTTGTGGACAGTTTGGGTGCTTTAACAGTTGTCGTAATTCTTGTTGTTGGTTTCTGGAGAGGATCATGGATCTTGGGAGACATTTACTTGGTAAAAGTATCCCCTACAGTGATAACGGTCGTGGCAACTTCGATGCATGTGATTTTAATCCTTTGGAAGGACTGGTGTAGCAAATTTTCGGAGAAAACGAAAAGAACAATTTTTATGAGTGTTTTCCGACGCTTCCATACGTTTTTGTACGCCGAAACGTGTGTTTTTACTTTCAAGGGTTATTGGGGAGTCTTGGACGTCCTATATGGGGTTACTTTCTTGCCAGATACTAGGGTTGAATCCTGCGAGAAACCCTTGCTGGTTTGGTGTGTTTCGGCAGCGAGTGTTGGAGGTCTTCTTGTCCTTAAATGTTTTAATAACACTTTGGGACCCCCATTTGCTATTTATGTCGACGATAGGGACACTTCTTTTAATTTTCCAACAATGTTTAGGACCAAAGTAAGTAATTGTTTATAACATTTAACTAATTATTATTAGCCAACAAACCGGTTTTGTTCAGTTCTTTTTTGTGGAATAATTGACGTTCTAAATAGTTAGATGCAGACCTAACAATAAGGATGAACTAGTTTTCAGCTTTCTGGTTCGTTCTTGAAAGATAACGATGTCCAAGTAATAATAATCAGTTGATTTATTGTCAGAATAGAAATAGGTAGCTACTATTTTTATTGAGTAATCTAGTTCTTTCTTTTTTCTGTTTGAATTATGGATTGTAACTGATACCAAAGGAAAACATTATTGTACGTTTCAATTCAAATTACCCACTTGTAATGTTACAACATCTGCAAGTAGATTATGTCCGTAAAAGACGTTTACATTTTAAAAAGCTTATCAATATTATTGATTTTGCACTCCATGCATTTGTCGCGTCTTCTTTTTTGTGTGTAACTTTCTACAATAACTATGAAATTAATTTTAGAAATATGATTAATTGATACTATTTCAATATAGTCATTGACTTTTTATTTTATGTTTATAATATTAAGTGTGACTTAAAAATTAGTTCAAAACTTTGAGGAAACTGAAGTTTTCCAAACTAAAACGTTTAGGTTTAAATTAAAATTTTTCAAATATACGTGGTTAACAATAACAATTTGTTATTATTATCTTCGTGTAAATAAATTCAAAATAAAGCAAAAAGTGTGTTTTGTAGTAAATAAATATTTGTTTCAACATTTTAATTAAGCTATTGTAAAAAGAACTGTCTTAATTGTTAATTAAATGTGTTTATTAGGCCGTACGACTGGTTCACGAAATTGAAATTAAAAATGGGTGACAATTCTCATTATAATCTCTCAGCAATTATAAAAGGAAAGAATCCTAGAAATTATTCTATTCTTTTGTCATATTTTGCTTATTACTATATGTATAAAGGTATTACATTGATAAATCGTTTTTATTTTTATTGTTATTAAAGATAAAATTAATGTTTTGCAATGTCTTCTAATGTAATCAATTTATTATTAGGGGTAAGTACTTACATAACTTTTTTATTTGCTTATATTATTGGCCTTCTTTTTTCAATTTTTTATAATTTGTCATTTTTGTTTGTTTATAATCTGTTATTATTTCTATGCACCGCAAAAGATTTGAGAAAAACAGAATCACCATCAGATTTCTTGAATGTTTATGAGAAAATTTAGTATTATTAATGTAGAACAACACCCTGTATATACTTTTACCTTTGGTTTCTGACGCTATCACATTATAAAATTTAATAATCATCCATCTTTTTTTTATTTATCAAAGTAGACGATAGTTCTTCTCGAATTTTGAGTTTCATGTTTTTTTACTAAAAAACACAAAGCGTTATCTAGTTTAATTGGCAAAGTTTGATAAAAGCATTAGCAAAACCATAAAGCACTTATATCTATAATAAAATAAAAATTTGTTATCAGTTCAATTATATATACTTGAATATTGAAATGGCTTATTGTCTAACATACGAGTTTAAATAAATATATGTATGTATGTTTTATAACTTTACACAAATAGATAAAATTACAATTAAACGAATTATAAATTAGGTTTTCGTGACAGTGTAATTTGTTTTTAGTGTATATTTTTTATTCAACTTTCGCGGGGAGCTCAACAAAATTTTGCAGACTTCGGAAAATTCAGAAATCGTTTTATTCCAAAAGCTGCTAGACTTATCAATGAGGTGATATCAGTAGAAGAACAACCCTTGATGGAATTGTCATATTTAAATGAAAACGAAATCCTCACTTCTAGATTACCGTACGTAGATGAATTTAAAAATCCCTATGTCGCTACCGATGTTTATCAATTAAGTCCACGACCATTCATAAATGGACCGAAGGGTGAAAATCCATACCGAATTCAATCATTAGAATTTCCACAAATATCTGTTTACCAGAAAATTCCCCCAAAGAATTTCGAAAATATTTTAGCACATATTACCGCCTACCATAATAATAAGAGAAAGGAAATAGAAAAATTACGAAGAAAACCTGCTGAAGAAATGATGAATGAAATTGTTTACAGAATGCCAATTAACAACAAATTTAATTTATTGAAACCAGATGATGCAAAAGAAATTAATATGTTGTCATTATCTCATAATAAATTTAATCAGTTCGATTCCGACATCGTTGAATATGATAGGGGAATAGTAAAAAGCAGATTAAGGAAAAAGGAGAACCCGTTCGAAGTCGTAATGAGTATTTACACTAACCCCACGGAATGGCGTTTTCCGACATTTACTAGTTTTCATAAAGAAGACGTCGAGCGATTTTTAGGCAAAGAAAACTTGAAAAAAGCTGTTCTTCATATGGCAATATATCCAGAACCAGATTCCTCCAATTCCTTACAAGAAATTGCTGCATAGTGTGTATCTTATTTATCCAAAGAATGGGGATCAGTAGGCCCCAATTTTTCCCCAAAATGTATTAGAAAAATTTGGATTTATTTTATATACAAAAAGGAATGTCTTTTTATTTGCATAATTTGTTTCACCTTCGATGGTATAGGTAAATTATGGATGTTACATAACAATAAATGTTTGTTATACAACGGCCAGAAAATGCTTTATTTGTTATTGTGCCGGCAGACAGTGAATAAATTAACTTGATAACGCAGTTTTTATTTCGAATTATGTTACAATGCTAGAGAATTGTATGTGTATAGTAATAGACTATCAAATTAGAAAATTACACTGCTGTTATACATTAAGTTTTCTTTGAAGTACTAACTCCGTTTTNGTTTTGATCAAAAGTGTTCGAAAAATAGAAAAAAAGGGTCACCTGAAAGGGAAGAAAAATATATGGATTTTATAAAAATCAGGATATATATTTTTGTCCAGTTTTTTACAGTGTTATTTCTCCTTAGGAATCCTTTTAGATCAAAGTTTATCTATTTTACTGTTAAAATTCCTCAATACTGCTATTGTTTGTTAGTTATCGCTCAAAACACTTCTCTTTTTTTTCTAGTCAATTTGATAGCTTGTTTTTACTGATACCATACGTTTCAAGTGTGACAGAAACATTGTTTACTTTCCTGAACAGTACATGAGCTATTATTTTTGAATACAAATTATTAAGAGATATGCATACATATTGTGTTTTTTATTTTTTATAGTTAACGATTAATGACTAATTAATTGTTATTACCAGACCATTAATTACATTGATTGTCTTTACACCAGCCATCATGCTACTGTGTTGCTTTTTGTTAACACCTCATGGGTGCTGCCCTTTTTTCATTTTCCATTATTTACCCTTGATTAAAACGCGTCAAAACATGCATACAAATAATTTTTCAGTTGGTACCATCCTTGACCTAGAAACACGTAGCCTTTTCGTCCNAATTTTACAAAGTTATCATTTGTGGTCGACTGCGATGAATCAAAATTAATTATAATTAATTCACATATTCTCGCTGATGCCTGTTGATATTTCTGAATTGAAAAGAACGCAATACCAAACTCATTATAATGTAAAAAACAATTGTATTGTCAATTTACAAACGATTCATCCTCAAGGTCTATATACGAATTAACAACAACAAATGAGAACCCGTTAAATTCTGATTCATAAAAAATTAATCAGTTAGAAATGAAGATTTATCAGAAAGACGAGGGTAGATACAGTTAGATTTGCCCCAGTTTTCCAGAAAACATAAGATAAGGATTCTTCGCCAGTCAATAGATTTTTTACCTTTTACTGTTGTGTCTTCCGTCGTATCCAAATATGATACCGTTATCTCGAAGCAAATTTTGATTAGTTTCTTCGAGATATTTGAGGAGACCCTGTGTGGTTTGTATGATGACCAGGTCGTTCATCGCATTGTACCCTGCTTGCATTCTACCCCTCAGTCCTGCGGTACCAAACGACAGTCTGTCCAGTAGTCTTTTACACAACTCTTGTGTTGCATTGCTATCGATCAAGCGGTTGATTTCTGACACAGTTTTCTCGTTTTTGTCCCACGAAACCCATTCGTCGATTTTTTGCTTCAATCCGCAAGGCCACTGGCTATTTGCGCCGGTAACACTCATTTTTATTTATTATTAGTTAGCACTAGTATTATTATTATTGTTATAGACCGACCAATAATAGTAATGTGTAGCTAATAGTTGAAAGTAACAGCAACTGTCAGACAAATTCCGGTAGTATGACACTAACTTATTCAAGTGAATTAAATTTAACGCGATAGGAGAGAAACACTCGGTAGTTGAGTATTTTTTTTTATGTTGTTTAGTTGTGCGCGCTTATATCAAATCAAACGAATGAAGATTGAAGAAGTTACACACTCTGCCGCAGTCGCAATGTCGACTTACCGTTCTTATCAATCGGATTTTGAAATGTGACGCTTCTACTATCACCACGACGTCGTGATAACGCGCACTGTTATCAAGTCACAATTTGAAATCGAACTGGTTTTTACATTTTTCATTTTTGGTTTTGTTATCTGTCTTGTTGCAAAGCTGCCGTTGCGTAAAAATTGAAAGTGATTTAGGTACTTACTACACAACAGTTTGCAGAAATGAAATCCAAAAGGAAATAGAAAATTGAATGTAACAGTAATCGTTTCACGTATTATTATAAACCAAGGTAATCGTTCTATAATTAAACCAAGTACCTACACGCAAGTTATTTTCCGTTAAGTAAATGAAACATTTCGTATACTCGTACCCATTGTTTTTTCCTATTTTATGATTACAAATCGCGTCACTTAAACTACACTCGCTGCAAGTTCGTGTAGTATTCTAATAAGTATGCACCTCTGCTACGTGCTTAGAGTTTTGTTGTTTTTTTTTCCTTCAGGAAATGGAAGTGGGGACTGTTAAGATCGCTGAAGACAGCGACTTCTTCATGTTGAGAAACTTGATAGACAACAACGAGGAATGGAAACTAGAATACAACAAGGGGGACGAATCAAAGGTACCTTCTCCTATGTACGATTACTTTGCCTTTTATATTAACGTAATATTTTATTTATTATTCGTTCACTGTGTGTGTGTGTGTTAATTTTATTTTGCGCAAGACTGACCGTGAATCTCGTGGAATCAAAGAAGGACATTCAACTGTCTCACTTATTTATTGTTTGTTATGCACACTACTCCTACGCACTTATTCTTACATCTACAGAGGCATGCCAGAAAAAGAACAACCCCGACGTCAACATACAAAATTACAAGAACTTCAGTGCCTGACCAGTTAGATTAATCGAACAGCAACAATCTATTTTATTTGTTTGTTCGTCGAATCGTTAATTTATAGTATTTACCATTAAGCTCTCAAAGATAACACTTTTATTTACGTGCAACTTTTAACCCGTCCGTTCGCCATGTAGCTAAAAATGCGCTCCTGTATTCTATCTTTAACGGGGCATGCTCAGAGTCGCTTTATTGTTTTACATCCATCCACACATACAAACGTATACAGCTACGCCCTTGCCTACGTCATAGATCGATTACGCGGTTCTCGCGACTCACGCTGTTGTCAAACTTGTTGAAACTTTTAATAAAACTTCTTTTTTAAGTTTTATTTATTGCTTTATAAGTATTTTTACCAACAGGGGTAGATAAGCATGCCCCAGAAACAAAAAAAATCGAAAGATTTATTTCAATGAAAGCTGTGCAAAGCTCTCGTCAAAGCGCTCCAAATCCCAAGCCCAAAGCTCTACTCCTTGAAGCTCCAATTGCATTTCAAAATCTAAGGACTTAGAAAACAGTTCGATCTAAACCTCTAAACACTTTCAAGATGCTTCAAGCACATTGAATTTCAAACTACAAATAGCTCGTTTATAAAGTAATCCAATCACCAATTTCCAACTATTTCTTCATGAAAAAACATGAGCCACTGAAAGGACTGAAGCACATTTTAAACTACTAAACCTCTGGTCAACTCCAATTTCAATATAGTCTACAGTGTATTAGTTCGATACATAATTAGCAATGATAATTACTAATTTTGCTGATCAAAATCCAGGTCTGGACGCACACAATTTGCTCAAAATCAAACGTACAAATGGTGAAAATCCACACAGAGTTCGAAAAGGTATCGGCGAGCACGCTTTTCGACGTCCTCCACGATCCCGATTACAGGAAAGAGTGGGACACCCACATGATCGAATCCACCGAAATAGGATACTTAAATCCCAACAATGACGTTGGATATTATGCCAGTAAGTCAGCGACGTATTCACAACCAAAAAAAAATGAGAAATGATAAATAGTAAATTCCGTCCAAAGGTCTCATACTAGTAGCAATAATATCAGATTGAGTAAAAGAGTTTTATATCTTTACAGTGAACCCTAATGTTTCAGTGTCATGTCCAACACCCATGAAAAATAGGGACTTTGTCTTACAAAGGTCCTGGCTAGATATGGGCGACGAAAAAATGATACTCAATCATTCGATTTACCATAAGTCGTATCCACCAAGAAAAGGATACGTAAGGTACGTCTCCCTCGTTATTATTTTTTGGCAATACTCCCTTTACATCCCTCTGTTTACATCTAGTCATTTGCAATCGCTTATTTCCTCTGGCACTTTACCTTTTAAGTCCACTTGTGACAACTGCTTTATGACCGCCTGTATCTCGCCACTAACATCCATTCAAAGTAATTCTTCCACTATAGATATCACTGTTTAGGGTGTTTAGGCCTATTCACTTACAATCGCTTGTTTAATACCTCTCCTCTCATTTGCTTTTGTGGTACTCTTCCCTGTATCTTACGAAAATTCATCGCAATTGTTTTCGTCATATACCTCCCTCAGCTTCTTCGTTCACATCTAACTGTTAGAAATTAGTTGATTGCAAATTTGGGCATCTGTGTTCCTCATAGGATCTTGAAATTATTTCTTTGCTTTTGTTTTGCTTAATGCGCTTTTTCTCATTTGCTAACGGTTGAAAATTTAAAAAAAAAATCTATTAGATTCGCTTGGGTTTGATCAGCTTCTCAATGGTACTGGCTCTAGATAGATATTTGTTTCAGAGCGATATCGCATTTAACAGGTTTTCTAATAAGACCGTCGGACAAGGGTTGTTTCCTGGGATACGTGTCACAGACTGATCCTCGCGGTAAAATTCCACCCTGGCTTGTGAACAAAGTGACGCAGATTTTTGCGCCCAAACTCGTGAAACAGCTAAAGAAAGCTGCAGAGGGTTACCCGATATGGAAAGCTAAACAGAAAGAGCCATGCTACAAACCGTGGATCTATCCAGAACAAACGTTGCTCTCTCCCAGGGTAAAAATATGTGATGTAAGTGAAAAACGAAGTAAGCAATTCTGAAATACATTCCTACCAAATAAAACTATTTTGTTCAAAAGTGTTATACTTTTTGACAATAATTGTCATTGACAGAATTAATAAATAATGAGAACATAACAGGAAAAAAATGCGAAAAGTTTATAGTCAAATGGACTATAAAAAACATCATTTTGATGCACGCGAAAGTTTCAATCAAAACTGAAAACAAATTTATAAAAAGATATAAAAGAAACTATAGTTGAAACGATCAAAATTGGCATAGTTCGTTACAAATTATATGTAAGAATCTCTCGAAACTGTAGTCATTTGCTGAGTTTTGAACACATCTTTGTTAAGTTAAGAAATGCTTCATGAGTACTACAGACAAAGTGAAGATAAAGAGATAAACGAATAGCAGTAAGCGGGCAGTGGTTAGGGGTTGCTTAGGTGCCTACGCAAAAGATCAACTGCCTAGTTGAAATTATATCTTTAAAGCGTTTTTGATTTCCTAAATTCCTAAGAATGTTGAACTCTCTTTGAAGTCCGATGCTGGCAACATACTGAAATTCTGATTGTCTGCATCTCTTTCTCTTACACTTCAACTGGTGTAATGTGATTCGTTTTTCTTTGTTAGTGTCCACTGCAATTCCTATCTGACATCTCTTTTCTATGTTTACAATATTCCCTACAACGATTGTCTTGAGTAAAAGTTATGTTAGCAACCACTAGTCTAGTTTGTAAGTTGAAAGAAGAATGTAAATGTGACAGTTTTATTGCAGACTATGCCAATTTTGAACGTTTTAACTATAGGCATGAATATGTATCAGTATAACGTCGTTTTTTATCGTTTCTAGTGTATTTCTCCACTAGAAACGGATTCTGCGAGAGACGATGACACTGAGGTTGAAATGGTACATGTATGATGACCGTGTGACCTGACGGTTGCTTATTTAAAAAAGTGTTCTTCTTATTCACGAATTTCGAAAAAGTATTATAATAATAATTATTATTTTATATTATATATTATATTATAACATTGTTAACCTATTTGATCCTTCTAGTCAATGTATTTACAGTCGCTTTTACCGCTTCTTCATATAATGATATGAATACAACGAAAACATTACAGTATTACAACAAAAATACAAACGTAACTTTCACTTAAAGGCATATACACGTACATTACATTTAACATTCGTTTGTTTTATATAATATAAACGTTTATAATTATTTATTTAACCAATATTACCCCATCATACACAGACGTTCGTATTACAGTACCACCCAACAAAATTATCACAAGAATGAAGAATTCAGCCGAAATTACACTTTAATTAAAGTACCTGCAGTGTAAATTCGTTATTTATATCGAACAGTTCTCTCTATAACGTAGACTCGCTTAATATCGAGTAGTAAAACAAACACTTGGTCATCATCATCATAGTCTAATTTAGATCTTAAAAAAATAAAAGACTTCTAACGACTCCTTTACGTTTTAGGTCCTGCCTCTCCTTATCCTTATCTTTATTGATTTCCAAAACACCCTTTGTTCTGCTAATACTCTTTCCAATATCTCCTTGACAATCGTTTGAAAATTTATTGATTTTTGACTATACTTTTCATTTGTTGCGATAAGTTTATTGGGTAGTGTATTTAATACATACTATATNACCCGTAGGTATCGTAGATTTCGTCTAATTTTCGAGCTAAAGTTTTCCCATTGGAATAAAGGTAAGAAACCAGTGTTGCCATTACCAAAGCCGCACTGATTCCATCTTTATCCAAAACGTGATGGTCACACATGAAACCAATGGCTTCTTCGAATGCAAAGATTACTTCCTTGCTTTCTTTTTCTAAATTGAACGTTCTGTTTCCTTAAAAAAAATTCTGAGTTTGTAACAGACTCACTTCTGTATCAGAATTCCAACTAAAGGCTTTGTGATGATGAAGAAAAGATTGGAAATGGAAAAGTAACTTTAAAAAATAGAAGAACAGAGGATACCATGGATGTCAACAAGTAAAAGGAGAAATGAGATGTCAGGCCATCTTTTGAGACATGAAGAACTGGTTAGAAACATACTAGAAATAGAATAAATAGATGCGATATTAAGCCTGCACTTATCCCCAAAGTGATGCTTTATTTTCAGGAAATGCGAAAATTGGATCAGAGTGGAAAGGAGTCTTTGGATTCACGTCTTTGTGATGTTGTTATTAAGATATGAGCTGCTACCCAATGGACAAAATTTTTATAACAAATCTAAATTTTATTTTTTTCGTAAAGCTTCTGGAACTTCTCTAAATAAATGAAGAAATAATTAAATGTCATTCTCACCCATCCATTTAAATCCAGTTAATGTTTCTTCGAAATTAAAACCTTCCTTTTTGGAAATTGTTCTCAAGATCTTCGAACTCACTGTGCTCGACATCATGTAGCAGTTACTCAAATCACTCTTCGGACATCTTTGCCTGTAGCATTGCAAAATCCACCAACCAAGAAGAGCTCCGAGTTCGTTTCCATTGAAAATTGTCCAGGTGTCATTTCTAAAAACCATCTTTCAAAATGATAACAAAAAATGAAACGAATATCAAATGAAGATGACAATAAATCGAGTAACAATTTCGTGAAATTTAAAACTTACTTATCGCTTTTCTCTGCTACTGCTAATCTGTCTGCGTCCGGATCATTGGCTAATATAATTTTTGATCCAATTTTATCTGCCTTTTTGAACGAGAGATCGAGACAGCTCCTTCCTTCTTCAGGATTTGGAAATCTGAAACCAAATGGTACATACCTATCGGTTATAATGAAGTTGGGTACAACAACGACATAACGGTTATTACGACGAAATTTCTAAATCCTTGATAGATATAATACCGTTTATAACAACATCGGCTGTTACGGCAGAAACAATACAAATTGGTGCGACCAAAATTATCGTTTACAGCGACGGACTCGTAAGAAAATGTCCGGAATTTACAGAGATATTTAATCAACATTTTTCCCAAGTTTGACCAATTCCTTCTGTAGCGAGCACAAGCGTGTCGGGCATACGTGTGTGTGAGCGGCTTATCGATTCGCCGACTAGCCGCGGTCGCCTTTTTTTCATGTGCGTCGTATCTGTAAACGTGTGTGTCGCACCTGCGTTCCGGGAAAGCAATTGAACACTTCAAAGAAGGCGAGACTTTTCCGGACGACTCGAGAAATTTCCCGAAAGGGACCAAAAGAGTATTTAAAGGAAGAGACGATCGCCGAGGAAGGTAGAAATAAATTGACCGTTGTAGAAGTGAATCAAGAAATAAATTGACAGTGATAGAAGTGAATAGTAACAGTAGTGTAANGTGTTAAATAATATTTTCAAACGTCAAACGTTTCCAAAGAAAGTGAAAATTAACCGTGGAGGTCGTCTACGTATACAAACACGACATTAATTAATTAGGGAATGTAATAAGTTTGTAAATAAATTGGAATTCCACAAAAATCGCCTTTTCTATAACTTGCTGTCTAATTTTTAATTGAACAATAATATGCTCTATAATGAACTTATTGAAAAGGTAATTATTTATACATTTTTATCAATCCTAACTAACTATCTGGTAATTAATTAAATAACTGAACTAGTTACTAAATTTTTATCTATTAATGACGACGCGGTAATAAATATTATGTACAAAATAATATAAAAGGGGCTACTAATTAAATTAGATACAAAGCAACATTATTTTGTTTTAAATATTTATATTTTTAAAAGATTACGTATTCTTTTGTATTTTTAATAAATAAACCGATAATAACGCAAAAGAACCTTGCACTTATGAATACCAAAAATGTTATTACGCTCGATAAGAAATAAAAAGGAAATTTTTCAACAGGAAATGCTGTTATAACGCAATTCCTAATTAAATGTGTTACTTAGTACTAATTTAGTGTTTGAACCAATTGATTATGATATGGAAAAGTTGTTGTGTTATCAGACAACAACAATTATATCTGGTTAATAAATATTTAATTTACTCCTTTGTTTAAATACACAAAAAGAGAATGTTCAGAAAAGAATTACTGTTTTAAGAAAATATTTGCTGCTTTTTCTTAATTTTCCACAAGTAATCGTTACAAAGTATTTTACGGATATTTACTAAGAACGTTTATTTGTTTTATTATCGTCTATTATAGAAATTTCCACGGTATGTAATTCAGGTTTTTGCAAAAATTAATTCGATTCCTTGATTAGGTCTTATGAGACCTTGCAACATTGAAAATTGTATGAAATTAACTACAAAAACAGAATTGTATCGGTTATTAAACTCAAGGTAACATAATATACGTATACATATTGTTATTTTTATTATATTCATCAATAAAACAACTTATACGTTACGTTATAATGCAAAATTACGTGTAAGTTTTGAAAATTGATACAAAACTCAAACCTTAACATCTAACAGTGAAGTAAAATCATGCCATTAAAGAAACCTGAAACGTGCCACAAAGCTCGATTGTAGGAAGCTTTTCTTTTGATAAAGGGTTAAAACAATCATAAGGGTATAATTTTCCATTTTAATTTTTTTAATCTAATTTAATTTTATATACAAAAAGGAATGTCTTTTTATTTGCATAATTTGTTTCACCTTCGATGGTATAGGTAAATTATGGATGTTACATAACAATAAATGTTTGTTATACAACGGCCAGAAAATGCTTTATTTGTTATTGTGCCGGCAGACAGTGAATAAATTAACTTGATAACGCAGTTTTTATTTCGAATTATGTTACAATGCTAGAGAATTGTATGTGTATAGTAATAGACTATCAAATTAGAAAATTACACTGCTGTTATACATTAAGTTTTCTTTGAAGTACTAACTCCGTTTTCTCTTATGACGGATGCTAAACTGAGGAAAATTCCTTGAGAGATAATTTAATAAAAAATACGAAAAAAAAACTAATTCCGATAAAAATTATAGTGGCTACCCACTAGTAAAGCAGCGAATCCATTATTATTACGTTGGACAAAGCATAAGATGGGTCAAAACAGAATCAAAGAACATATGTTTTATTTATTTATTTTTATTAATTTTAAAGTAATCCAAGAAAAAATAATTACATTCGTGTAAAGCTTACTGACAATCGTACACATACATGGTTTATACAGGTACTTCATATCTTCCATAAAATTGTTTTTACCTAAGTAGGTACCGGATGTTACAATTATATTAACTTATCTAACTCTTGACATCTAATTTNAAATCTGAACTAATTAAAACAATTAGTATTAGAAATACACAAATAAAGTTTGAACCAATTGGAAATCGTTTTGCCCTACGATAAATTCTGCAAACGAAAAAACTGAATTTCTAAATGTCCTAAAATTGTAAAGTATGAAAAATATTCTAACCACATACTCTTGTACCTGCATTTTTGGAAATCTTTTCATTAAAACTATTTACCTATCTACTCACTCATTATTTGTACATATTTAAATACAAAGCAGATAGATAAAGTAACAATTTTACTTGATTTACTTGCTGCAAATGCTTTTTTCAAATGCATATCTACTTATATTTTTGAAGCAACAAAAAAAAATATTCAGAAAGTTGTTACTGCAGTACCTACATGGTGATAACGCAAACATGTTTACAAATAGAAATTCAGCCAAGGTATTTTCATTTTATTTTAAAGACTCTTTGAAGTGAGATACTCATAACTTTTGAGCGACGTTTTTTATATTACTGAATTTTCCCTCAATAAAGTGAGCACTTAATAATAAAGAAGATTGGATTTCGACTTTGCTGTTGGCCTAAATCCCATATAGAAATTGTCTAGAATACAATAACCTTGTTAAAAAAACTACATAAACATTTAATCTTCGCGATGGATTTGATATCAGAAAGCAAGCGGGTAATAAACTGGGCCTTGCTTATCATGGGAATATAATAAATAATAATAGTTGGTGCAGTATTAAAAAAGCTTGTCACGGGATGAGTCGCGACGCCTGTCCTCATCAGCTGTGATGGAGCCCTCATCGATCTCACCCGCACCGCAAGGCGTCCAGGACGAACAGGAAAAACTTTTTATCAGTAACGAAACCGGCGGGGATGGAGAAAAAGAAACCCTTTTAATTACTTCGCATAATAAACCGCAAATAGTACCACAAGAAACTGAATGTTTCGTATTGAAAGCAGTGAAAAATTACGAAGAAGAAACTTTAAGAAAAAGATACAAACGTCTGTTGAATTTTGTGGACAGTTTGGGTGCTTTAACAGTTGTCGTAATTCTTGTTGTTGGTTTCTGGAGAGGATCATGGATCTTGGGAGACATTTACTTGGTAAAAGTATCCCCTACAGTGATAACGGTCGTGGCAACTTCGATGCATGTGATTTTAATCCTTTGGAAGGACTGGTGTAGCAAATTTTCGGAGAAAACGAAAAGAACAATTTTTATGAGTGTTTTCCGACGCTTCCATACGTTTTTGTACGCCGAAACGTGTGTTTTTACTTTCAAGGGTTATTGGGGAGTCTTGGACGTCCTATATGGGGTTACTTTCTTGCCAGATACTAGGGTTGAATCCTGCGAGAAACCCTTGCTGGTTTGGTGTGTTTCGGCAGCGAGTGTTGCAGGTCTTCTTGTCCTTAAATGTTTTAATAACACTTTGGGACCCCCATTTGCTATTTATGTCGACGATAGGGACACTTCTTTTAATTTTCCAACAATGTTTAGGACCAAAGTAAGTAATTGTTTATAACATTTAACTAATTATTATTAGCCAACAAACCGGTTTTGTTCAGTTCTTTTTTGTGGAATAATTGACGTTCTAAATAGTTAGATGCAGACCTAACAATAAGAATGAACTAGTTTTCAGCTTTCTGGTTCGTTCTTGAAAGATAACGATGTCCAAGTAATAATAATCAGTTGATTTATTGTCAGAATAGAAATAGGTAGCTACTATTTTTATTGAGTAATCTAGTTCTTTCTTTTTTCTGTTTGAATTATGGATTGTAACTGATACCAAAGGAAAACATTATTGTACGTTTCAATTCAAATTACCCACTTGTAATGTTACAACATCTGCAAGTAGATTATGTCCGTAAAAGACGTTTACATTTTAAAAAGCTTATCAATATTATTGATTTTGCACTCCATGCATTTGTCGCGTCTTCTTTTTTGTGTGTAACTTTCTACAATAACTATGAAATTAATTTTAGAAATATGATTAATTGATACTATTTCAATATAGTCATTGACTTTTTATTTTATGTTTATAATATTAAGTGTGACTTAAAAATTAGTTCAAAACTTTGAGGAAACTAAAGTTTTCCAAACTAAAACGTTTAGGTTTAAATTAAAATTTTTCAAATATACGTGGTTCACAATAACAATTTGTTATTATTATCTTCGTGTAAATAAATTCAAAATAAAGCAAAAAGTGTGTTTTGTAGTAAGTAAATATTTGTTTCAACATTTTAATTAAGCTATTGTAAAAAGAACTGTCTTAATTGTTAATTAAATGTGTTTATTAGGCCGTACGACTGGTTCACGAAATTGAAATTAAAAATGGGTGACAATTCTCATCATAATCTCTCAGCAATTATAAAAGGAAAGAATCCTAGAAATTATTCTATTCTTTTGTCATACTTTGCTTATTACTATATGTATAAAGGTATTACATTAATAAATCGTTTTTATTTTTAATGTTATTAAAGATAAAATTAATGTTTTGCAATGTCTTCTAATATAATCAATTTATTATTAGGGGTAAGTACGTACATAACTTTTTTATTTGCTTATATTATTGGCCTTCTTTTTTCAATTTTTTATAATTTGTCATTTTTGTTTGTTTATAATCTGTTATTATTTCTATGCACCGCAAAAGATTTGAGAAAAACAGAATCACCATCAGATTTCTTGAATGTTTATGAGAAAATTTAGTATTATTAATGTAGAACAACACCCTGTATATACTTTTACCTTTGGTTTCTGACGCTATCACATTATAAAATTTAATAATCATCCATCTTTTTTTTATTTATCAAAGTAGA